AAAATACTCGCTTTTCCCAGCCACCCTTGACCAAAACAGGGGGACATGACCCAGGCCATGCTCATCAGAAGTACTCACCCCAGAATGGGACTCTTAGGAAAATACTTCATCCATTCTGGCACAAGTGAGAGCAGAGAAACCAGCCAAAACCAGTGTCCCGGAGCAGCAGCTTTGGTGCTGGCGCCCAGTCCCTGTCCATGGTCATTGTGTCTGCATTGTGAAGCTGTAGCAATTATGCCTGGTGGTGTTTTCACTGGATCAGATCTGGGGAAGGATAGTGGGTGAGGTTTCTGAGCCTGGTCTCTGGCCTTACTAGGAAATTCTGAAAATTATCCAGCATCTTTTTTTTTTTAATGTTTATTTATTTCTGAGACAGAGAGAGACAGAGCATGAACGGGGGAGCGGCAGAGAGAGAGAGAGAGAGAGAGAGAGAGAGAGAGAGACACAAAATCAGAAGCAGGTTCTGGGCTCTGAGCGCTCAGCACAGAGCCCGACGCAGGGCTCGAACTCGCAAACCGTGAGATCATGACCTGAGCCGAAGTCGGTCGCTCAACCGACTGAGCCACCCAGGCGCCCCACCCAGCATCTTTTTAATAAAAATACTTTTTCTGCTGTAACTTTAAAAATGATTTAATATGCTTTGGAGTCAGATTGCCTGAGGCCAAATACCGGTTTTCCACAGACCAGTTAATAATGTTGACTAACGCATGGAGCTATTCTGAGATTATTCCCACATTTCTAAGTGGGAAAAATCAGTACTACCTCATAGGATTGTGGTGAAGGTCAAATGGGACATTGCCTGCAAAGTCCTCCGGGACGCAGTTCACACATTCGCAACCCTAAGCTATGTAAGGCCAACAGAAGTGTTCTGTTTGGTAATTTATTGTTTTTAACTCGATTGCTAACGTTGAAAAGTCAGGGCACTGCATAAAAATGCTGGATTTACAACTATTGAAAAATCAGAAGCTCTGGCAACACTGGGTCCACGTGCCGACTTCACACCAATGAGACTGAGCCGAAAGCGTCCAGCTCCTTTGCGGGAAGTAGCCGCTCACCTGGCCTGATTTATTCTTGTGTTACCTGCCTGGTCTCTGCTGTAGGGTTTCGGGGTTGTAGCCCTGTAACTAGGAATAGAAAGATTTTCTAAAGCTGCAAAACCGAGAAATTTGGCTAAATCGTCTCTACAAACTTTTCCAGACTGATTCGGTGTTTTGTTGCTGCACAGTAATTCCAAAACTTAGTGGAGTTATTCCCACACAACAGCCATCTTATCATCTTCAATGATTCTTCGGGTTAACTGGGTTTAGCAGGGCAAATCTCTGCTTCAGCTGACACTGGCAGAAACTGTGGACATCTGGACATTCGAGATGTCTTATTCACATCGTCGGCAATCGGTGCTGTCAGACGAGAGCTCACGTGGGTCTATCCCAGTACCCCTCCTTGTGCCATGGGGTTTTCATCGCATGGTAACTAGACAAGAAGCAGGAAGTGAAAGTTGCCGGTTTTAAGACCTGGTGTTCTACAGAAGTTCCAGAATGTCACTTCTGCTACATTCTATTGGTCAAAGGTAGTCACAAAGCCAGCTCAGATTCAAGAGAGGAAAGGGTACATGGGACAGGAAATAAGCTTCACCTCTTGATGTAGGGAGCAACATATGTATAAAAAGAGAAGACTGCTGGAGGGCCATCTTTGGAGACTAATGGCTACATATACATATACATAAACATTTCATGAGTATTCACACTTTCCTAGTGTAAGAATGGCCTAGAGAAGAAGAGTCTCTTGGCCACGCAGTAAAAAGGAATTCACAATTAGTTATTGCCCGTATCACAACATATTGAGTTATTGAAGACCTACTTCCAAAACATTCTCCCAATTCCTCAGAGCTGGTTTAAATTCGCTACATTTTAGAAAGCTGGTTAAACAAATTTATATTGGTAAATAACAAAAATTCAGCCGAGTAAATTTGAAAGATCTAATCAACTTAGGAATCAGGCAGCATCCCCTCTAGCAAGTATAGGGGAGCTCCAAAGGGCTACAGAAAAGGAAAGGTTTTTAAAGGTAGAGAGTTGAAAAAAGGAAATTATTAGCTAAGAATCCATTGTTTTAGGCAAGGTTGCCCTCCTAAGGGGAACGGATAGGGTCTATCAGTAAATGTCTCAATGCT